TATTGAAATATCAATGAGTTAAGAAAGCTCTTAAAGTTAGTTACAAAGAATTTGCAAATTTGACTAAGCCCTGTCATTTAACTGTTTTAAAATATACCTTCAGACTTGGCGATGAAGCTTACAAGGCTATGCAATAGGTTCTGTACAAACATAAAGCCTTCCCAAGCTGGAAAGAACTTCAGAGATGACCACCCATTTTATAGCTCAGCAGCAGCCTCCCCTGCTGGAACACGCCGAGGCGGGCCAGAGGCTGGACGCCACTTGCTAGACAATGAAGCCAGTACACTTCCCCCTCCGTTCTTTCACTAGGAAGGGCATTTCTAAACCTGAGGCAGTGGATAGAATCTGCACGCTCTAAGGAAAAATTACTTAGCATCATCATATTCCATAAAAAAGGGAAAGAAACAAATTAAAAAATAACTTTTTAAAATCTGAGGCAATCCTAAACTTGATAAATTAAGGGATCGCTTGCGGGCTCATCTCCAACTTTAAAATTATTGGTTAGTCTGAATTTTTTAAAAAACAGAACTGAAATGCATCCCTGAAAATCTCTGTGATATAAAAAAGAGGCAATATATTTGTATTTATGGTTTTATCACAGAATATACATGTCCTAATTTATAACTGCTTTGCTTTTTATAACAATGGATATGTTTCACCAAAACTAAGCTTTCTACATTTTCAACTTATAAAAACCGGTACTTATACTTGAACTTACGTTCAAAAGATGATTCAAGTTCCTCATTATCCTTAAAAGACAGCTTGTCGGGATTTGAAAATTCACTTTTGTCTTGAAGTTCAGTTTGCCTTTGATAAAGACTGGGTTAGAAGAATAAAATTCATGAATGTGAAGCTCTAATAACATAAGACCCAAGGGCACAGGATGACGGAATGCCTTTTGTGACTGGAGAAAACGCTTTAGAAAATTAGTTGTTCCCAGTGAGAACAAGAGCTACACAGCACTGGGCGCCCTCCACACGCCCGGCCTCACTCTAAGTGATTAATACACATTGACTCTGGTAGTCCTCACAGCCAACTTATGATGAGGCACGCACTACCACTGCTACACTGAGAACGACGCTGCACTCTCAATGCTGTTCCTAAGAGTTTATTTTATCAAGAACCACCATTTTTGAAAAAAACAAATTCTGCACGCCATCAGCAGGAGCCAGCTGAGGATGCAATACTGCAAACCGCCTATGCATCAGAGTACCCGAAGTCAGCGCATGTGTGTCTTGTCTCAGCTTTATCACGAGAGTGCGATATAAAAAGTTACATGCTCTAGGACCACAATAGGCACATGTAGTGGTTTTCAACTTCGTAGGGTAAAACTGAGCCAACAGGCAGATGCCCAGCCTGGAGCCCAGAACTAAGGAGTCGGACTCTCTTGCCATGGGGACCCAATATGTGGGTCAAACCCCAGCCTGGGCGACCTACTGCCCAGCTTCCAACACATCCGCTCCTGCTTCAGCAATCATAGCCTAGGGCCACAACAGCTTTGGAATTTCAGTAAGACAAATTAAAATTTTATTTGTTTATGCTTAAATACCAAAATATCTTTTAAAATGGCTTTTTAATGTATTGTGAAACTGCTTCAAGTTTATAAATAAACTGAATTTGTTTGCTTTTGCAGCTTCTGTATGTCTATTCATGGAACTATGAAGGTGCTTACTAATATCACAGTACATATTCTATGTATCAAGTTTAGCAAACAAATAGAAATCACTTATTTGCTAAAAGGACTTTTTCCCCAGGTACTTCAGATGATTCCCAAAGATCACACATCATCTTACCATCTGATTGCAAATTCCATATTGACACACGTCAAGCTGAGACCCCATGTGGCTAACCAGCCTGGGCCAAGCCGACCAGAACAGGGCACTTACCTGGCCTTCTGCTTCAGGGAGCTGGAGAATGAATGGACCGGAAGGCTGCGGCCAGACTCGGCAGGAGAAGGTCGGGGCGTTCTGTCAGAGCGAGGGCTGGCAGCCGCCACGTGGGCTCGGCCCAGGCCTAAGGGGCAGAAGGAAACAGGGCAAGAATATCACAAGTTACGCGGACGAAAAAAGCAACGTGGTTTCTAAGGAGCTCTTACTTGGAAAACAAATTCTATCATCCTTGCAAACAGATGAGTATGATGCATACATGATCCAAAGAAGGAACGATTCAAGCACCTAATGAAACTGCAACGACAACAGTGAAGTGTAGAAAACCAATCGCCCGCCAGTAAAAGAAAAGCCAGTCACGATCTGAACACCTGTGCGTGCCAGGCGACACGCTGGAACATGCCATTGCCAGTCCGGCCCATGGCCTCCTACACCAATGCTGTGCTCTTCCTCAGACAAGAGATCCGAGGGCCCGGGCTATCCAAGCCAAGCAGCCGCAACCCTTTCTGCAGCTTACCTTCCAGATGCATTTTGTCATCAAGGCCTCGTTTGGCCTTTGCCAGGGGCGTGGAGGAGGGGCGTCGGCAAGTGCCTCTGCGCAGCCGTGAGGCCATGGTGCCCTCTAGCGCTGTTGCTACGTCCCCCGCAGGCGGCTCAGACACGGTCCCGTCCTCTGCCAACATGTTCCTTTCGGAGGAACCCGAAGGGATGCTCTTGAGAGCTCCTAGCAAGTGCAGGGCTGGCGGGCTCCTGGCTGCCAGTGGGGTCCTGGTGGCGGGATACTGACTCATTCTTCGTTGGTAATCCTGGAAAGCTTTGTCCAAGCGGTTGGCCTCTCGCTCTAGCTCTCTCATTCTCGCCTTGGTACTGGCTACAAACTCAAGGTCGGAATCGGGGGAGCTGCCATCCGTGCTTGTGTTTGGATAATGTATGACCCTTGGTGTAACTGTGACTGCCATCGGCTTTTCCTCTTTGAGAGTTTTCAAAAAGTCCCCGCTCGTGTCACCATCGTGAGGCGCCATGAATCCGGGGACAGAACGATGGATCAGAGACTGCTTTGGATTGCGGTACACTTCATTCTCTAGGGCTTTGGGTTATGGAAATAGTATGAGAAATGAGGGGAAGATAAAAGAGAAATAAACTTGAGAATATTATTTTGAAAAATTAAAGAAGGTATTAATAAGGACACACTTGCACATTAAACAGTTTCTGAAGCCACGGTGATGCCAATACTTATTTATTATCATCTAGTGAGAGCTCCTCTGTACCAGCCACAGTTTCACAGGCCTTCTTTCTTAACCCATGATATTATTTCACAATCCATTATACGCAACCCTGATATCCAAAAAGCTCTGAGAACTGAAAATTTACTCGTAATTTATTTGGTGGCAAAGCCTAACCAGACCTGAACTCATCTGGTTGATATACTTGACCTGAACTCATATAATAATCTTTATTTGTTCTACCCAGTGTGGATATTCATACATTTGATGTGAATCAATCGACATGTTTCATCACTACGGGATGCCGCCCCGGACACCAGGGGCTGTGGCAAAACCCAGTGCAGGCCCTGAGCTTCAGGTAAGGGGTGACCCGCAGTTAGACAAGGCTGTGAGGTGACGACTTTCACTGCTCCCACAGTGCAGGTGGGGGGGGCTGAGGCCGAGTCACACGAGTAAGCAAGGCACGGGGACACTGGGATTTCCTAACGCAAACCTAGTACATGGGACAGCTGCCCGTTTGCAACGCCTCCAGGACAGATGCTTGCACTGGGCGACGCTTGTGTTCGAAAAAGTTCCGTCTACATTAAACTATTTTTCATGACACAAGATCGCTATGATTTTGGTTATGGGCAGTTTGGCAAACAGAATTGGTGAGAGAAAATGAGGAAGAGGAAAGAGTAGAAATGAATAGAGATAAAAATAAAACCAGTGCGGGAGAAAGGAACAAGGACTGAGGAGGGAAGAGTGTAAGTGGGAACTGAGGAAGACCCAGAACCAGGAAGCTGAGAAACTAGTTCAACTGGTAACGCACAGAAACGTCCTCGGGGTTGAAAGCGGCAAGAGAAGGCATCTGAGCTTCGGTACACTTCTTATGAAGCAGGAAGGGGCAGATATCATGCATCCACAGTGAAGACTGCAATAACATGACAGCAGGAACATTCCTTGAGTGTCTGATGAGTACCAGGCACTGGGCTAGGACCCACCTCGTTTCATCGTCATTCACCATGGCACGGTAGCTATTCTTATCTCCATGACGAATGAGGAAACTGGGGTCCAAAGAAGCTAAACGTGCCCAAGGTCAAAAAACTAACTTCAAAATTGGGGTCCGAAGACAAAATTAGTTTTCCGATTGCAGTAGCCGTGTTCTTTTTGCTAGGCCACCCTGATTCTCCGGTATATTTACTCGTCTGTCAAGGGTAAAAACAGCGAGGAGCCGACTGGTCGTCTTATCAGGGTAAAAAAATATAAAAAAGCCTAGGTCCAGGATGGATTTGGGGACTTCCGTGTCACCACCACACCTTTCCTATTTGGGTATGAGGCTCTCTCAAGCCACAGGGCACCTGTGAAAGCAAGTCATTTTAGCAGATAACCTGGCTGGTATTCCAGAAATGGATAGGGAATTTTACCGTTAAGGTGACACGTGTGTCTATGGTGTTCCCCTACTATGAGAATTACTAAAACTTCAGTGATTAATGATCATTACATTTCCACCAACGTCAGAAGCTTTACACACCATACACATATTTAGAGGTTAAAAATGTCTGACCTGTCTGAGTTTGTTTCAGTTGCAATTTTAAATCGGCGACCTGCATAGTTAACCTCTTTACGGAGGCATCATAATCCAGTATCTGGGCCTTCAGCTGTGCGGAATGCTCAATCTGAAAAGATTTAGAGAAGGAAAAGAAACCAATGTAAAGGAAATCACAGCTCACGTCAAAAGAAACAATTCTCTTTTCGGGTTCATTCTCTTTTTCTGTTTTGCCAATAATGAGTAGCTTTACACCCATAATCCACGGGTCTGTAGAAAACAACAGAACATTCAAACAAATTTCCCACCTCCTTCACTCATCTCAAAGAACAGCTTCCAGGGTATGAAGCAGATATCAGAAATATGTCAATATTTCTCAGTTGCGGGGTAAGGTTTCGGTAACACTTTACCAGTGGGCACCATCAGGACGGGACAATCTTGCGTTTGGGTGCGGTTGCTGGCCTCTGGGTTTTATTACTATTATACATAGAAAGTCATAATCACTTAAGAATTTTCTCAGATGAGAAAGGATACCCTTGGCATATGGGAGGGGTAGCCTTTGATGTTAAGATCAATCTGATTTACGCTCAAGAGACATAAGCCAAATTTAGACAACTACAAAGTGACTGGCCTAGCGCGTGGCTTGCAAAGAGCAGTACTCACTTCGGTTTGCAGCTGTTTGTGCAGAGCTTGCTTTTGGGCCTCAAACTCCTTACGCTCCATCATGATAGCATTTTCTGCTTTCTTTAATTCTTTCTGCAAAATTGCCAGCTCGGGAGATGGCTGAGCTATGCCTAAGGAGGTAAAAAAGCCTGGCCATTATGAACCTGAAGTTCTCGCACTTCACTTAACAAGAGCAGCTAAAGAGATTTTAAATTGTTCTTTTCTTTGTACACATGCAATTAATTAACTTTATATTACTTTTATTAAGTGGACTAAGAGCAATCCTGACTCACAAATTTCAGAAAAGAATTTAAGACATGTAAATGCAAACTTTACTATTTGACATAGTCCTACTCCGAGTAAAAGAATTCTTTCAAATCTTTAAATTAACTTGAATGCCCACCTCTGTCCTCTACCACGCACAGGAGGCATAAAAGGAACCCTCCAGCAAAACCTGTTGATGGCCACCCCGAGGCTCACTCTGATCTGTGCCTGTCAGCAGCACTTGGTGTCCAGGCAGAAAGCTGATGGAGTTCCTCCATTTGGGCCACCAGAGGACCCGCTAATAAAGAACGGCCTATGTAGGATAGCCACAGAGTATGCTGCAGTTCCCTGGGCTAGTAATGGAGCCATGCTGTCACCACTCCTTGGGCCTAGAGGGTCGGGGAGGGAGGAATTCCGAGACCCGGAGAGGCCACTTCCCAAGCACTTGGACCTTGCCTGGCTGGGTGCGGGGCCAGCCCAGGGCCACGGAGATGGTGGTGGTTGCGGGGCAGGGGAGGGCGGTAGCAACATCGACCTCAACCTCACTCTCACTCCTCATTCCCAGGGCCTGGGGATGTCCCCACCAGCCAAACTCTACCTGCAGAGGGCGACAGGAATCCAGTCCCATCCAAAGAGGCAGATTTGTACAGCTTAAAAATATTCCCTCTTAATGACACTATTAATTATTCAATATCAAGCAAAAAGGAAGTAACCTCGAACTGAGAGTCTTAACTTTATAAAAATTTCCCAACTGAAGCCTCCCTTACAGATACAAAGCACAGTTTCAAAACACTTAACTAATATGAATTACGAAAATATGCAAATCAGGAAAAAAGACATACGGTTTAAGAGATGCAAGTTTTCATTTTTAATCTCTTCAATTTGTTGTTTAAGTAATTTATTTTGTGCCTGAAGCTCCAGTTTCCCTTCTTTTAGTAGGGAATAGTCACTCATCTCTTTAATCTTTTCATTCAGCAGGTGGTTTTGCTTTGTTATTGCCAAAGACTGGGCCTTCACAGACTCTAGCTCAAGCTGGAATTGAAAAAGTAGAACACATTTGAACAGTGGCTTTATGGTGCTGCTTAAGTAAAAGCTGGCAGGCTGCTTTAAGCTGGGAGTTACGTACGAATGAATTAAGGTCACTTGACAGAAGTCTGGTTCTCTACAACAACAAGACCCAAACTACAACAATGAAAGTCATCTTTTGCCCTAGAGTTGGGGCTGGGGGAAGTTCACCCAACTTTACTTATGTAGAACCTTGTCCTACAGAGTAAGTGCTTCTGATTAAGATTATCACCCCGTTTTTCAGATGCCACTAAAGTCCCAATAGCAATCACAGATTATAGCAATATATATTTTTAAAAGTGAAAAGGTGAGATACCACAAACCTGCTGTAGAGTGCTTTCCTTTTCTTGCTATAACATACCTCGTGTTTGGATAGAAAAGCCTACAAGTTCTCAAATAACTCACTGCAGTCACAAAAATAAATTTTCTATACAGTGTACATTTTAAGTACCTAAAGTTCCAGCTCTATCCTTCCGATAGCGAACACATGAATGAACAGAAATAAAGTCACACTGGCATGTGAGAAACGCATCTCATTTTGTTTTCATCTGTAAGATCCCAACATAACAAGAGGAACGTCACCTGCTGTTGGTGGGAAGGGAGCAGAGGCTGAGGCGGAAACTGACAAGCACTGGCCACCTGCTTGGGGCTAGGCACAGAAGTCAGCTCGCTAAAGTCCCTCAACAACCATGGAATGTGGGCAGTATTCCAAAACCTACGGATACGGAACATGAGGTCATAGAACGTGGCTGGAGGCACACAGAAGTAAGGGAGAGACAGGACTCAGACAGGACTCCAGGCCCCAAACACATACTCGTTCTATGCCTCCCTAGGAGGCTAAGATGGAAATGCAGAACTGCTGAATTAACTTCAGCTCGGCCGTCACCTTCTTAGTCATAATATACAGTCCAAACACATCAAGAGGATAACTTATGATAAATTATATATGACTAAAACTAAAATTTCATACATTGTCTAACACTGATTTCACAAAAACAATAGGGTTAACAATTACCTCAAGTTCTTTCACACGATTTACAGAATGAATCAGTTGTTCCTTTTTTAAATTAACAGCTGTGAGCTCCTCTTGCAAATGTATAGCTTTCTCTGAAAGAGCCAACCAATTAAACGTCATATGTTTTCCTAGTGAATACAAGTCATTTAATAATTTATAGTCAGTATGTCAGATCTAATGACCATTGTTTCATAATCTAAACTAGAAAATCAGCGGGCAAGAAATAAGCCCTGTTACCCAACGGGTGATGGGAAGTTAGTTATAACGGTCAAATATGTGGTGAACTTCCTCCTGCTACACACACCAACCAGTCGCAGCGTCTGCTGCTCAGAGCCCTCGTGCCAACACATCTGAATGTCTTTAAAGACAAAGATTTGTCTGTTATGATTTTGTCATCACAATTTTGTCATTTTCACTTCATCTAACAAAGCTATGTAGACATAGCATCGAAAAATAATTTGCTGAATACATGATGGTACTAATTCCTAAAGAAGTATTATTCTCCACAAGATAGCCAAAAGGAGCAGCCACACACCGGGTGGCCTTACTGGTCAGTATCAAGTACCCAGCTCTGGTTTACTCTCAAGAATTCCTTTGAAATTTCCACTGAAAGTTCAATTTCTTTTCACAGGCAAATTCCTAGAAACATATTGAAATGTATAACATCTGGAGACTGAAAAATTATCCAACTTTCCTAATGCTGGGCTAATGCACACAACAGTTTAGGAAGTTATATGTTAAGTGAAAATATCACGAAGCATAAAAATATATAAGTAAAAGAAATAAGGAACTAGGTCACAGGGGACAGAGAAGTTAAAATAAAATTTTCCGTAAGTAAAAAAATGAAGTCTCTCATGGTTAACAGTAATATTTACTAGATAGCAATAAGCTACTGCCATCTTCCTGACAAACACAGATTTATCAAAATATATTCAAATACATAAAAATATACAAAAATAAACTCAAAATGGATTAACGACTTAAATGTGAGCTATGAAACCATAAAACTCCTAGAAGAAAACATAGGTAGTAAACTCTCCGGCATGGCTCTTAGAAATATTTTTTTGGACATGGCTCTCAAGGCAGGGGCAATAAAAGAAAAAACAAATACAACTACATCAAACTAAAAAGTTTTGCATTGCAAAGGAAACCATCAACAAAAAGACAACCTACTGCATGGGAGGAGACATTCATAAATGATACACATAAGGGGTTAATATGCAAAATAAATAAAGAACTCATATAACTTAACGCCAAAAAAAAACCCAATCCAATTAAAAAACAGGCTGGCAACTTGAATAGACATTTCTCCAAAGAGAACAAACATATGGCCAATGGACATATGAAAAGTCGCTCAATATCACTGATCATCAGAGAAATGCAAATTAAAATCACAATGAGATATCACTTCACACCTTGCAGGAGGGCTAAACATCAATAAATCAAAAAACAAGTGCTGGTCACAATGTGAAGAAAAGGGAACCCTCGTACACTCTTGGTGGGCTCGTAAATCAGTGCGGCCACAATGGAAAAGAGTATGGAGAGTCCTCAAAAATTTAAAAATAGAGCTGCCATATGATCCAGCAATTCCACTTCTGGGTATTTAACCGGAAAAAAAAAAACCCCACTAATTCTAAAAGATATATGCACCCTTATGTTCACTGCAGAATTACTAGTAATAGCCAAGGCATGGAAGCAAGCTAGATGTCCATCAACAGGTAAATGGATAAAGAAAACACGCTACAAATGTACGATGAAATATTTTATTCAGCAATATAAAGGAATGAAATCTTGCCATTTGTGACAACATAGATGAACCTAACGGGTATTATGCTCAGTGAAATAAATTGGAGAAAGACAAATATCTTGTGATTTAACTTATATGTGGAATCTAAGCAAACAAAACAAATGAATAGATAAAAAACAGAAACAGACTCACAGATATAGAGAACAAGCAGATGGTTGCCAAAGGGGAGGGGTTGGGGAGATGGGAAAAATGAATTCTTAATACCCTACTTCCTTTCAAGCTAAGGATCATTTTTGACATATTTTTTTCATTAAAAAATGTATATAAAAATAAAGTTGGATAAAATCTTGCCAATAAATCAGTGGCCTTTATGAATATACAAAAGGTTAAACAAGGTTTGCAAAAATGTAGTAGAAGACAATGATCACTTTTTTAATTTTGTAAATTAAAAGGCCAAAAATGTAATTTTGTAGTAACGAAATACAAGGTACATATATTTTTAGAATGTATGTTTTAGAATAGACAGACCCAATTTAGGAAGCTAAAAACTCGCATCAGAACTGAAA